GTGGCAGAGGCATCTGGATTTCAGAGTCAGTAACCATGGGTATATGGTTACTTGCTAGAGAGAAGCAAGGCTACTTCTCTGGGCACACGGAGAAGTAGCCTTGGTGGTGGGTGGGGATTCCTGGAGTGCTGGAGGCGGTGATGTCCTTATCAGGTCAATTCTGCAATGTGATTCTGGAAGTTTAGCCTTGAGCATGATTCTCTAGCCTTCCTGACACTTCTGGGAGCTATAGACATGTGTTTTTAATAAACACCTTTTCGACTTTGTCAGGGTCAGCTTTTCACCATCGGACACCTGACTTACCCAGACGTTGGGACCAGAAGTCGTTGCCAGCTACAGAACCTTGGGGAGGAATGTGACTTTGGCTATATGACCCAGGAATGGAGCTGAAGAGCCAGCCAGCATGAAGGAACGAGACCTGGCAGCCAAGCCACGAGTCTTAAAAATGGTGAACTCAGCTATTTCTTGGGGGCTCCCCGAAGAACACACTGAAGGCAAAGTTCAGAGGGATCTAACTGCGTTGCCACCAAATGGTAGGAAAAGTGTGAGGAATTCAGGGCCAGTGGGGATAAACCGGCTACACTGCACAGCTGAACAAGAGGAGCATCAAGCCCCACTACCCTACCCTGTCAGAACAGTGTTCTCTCCCTTCCCTGTACATAGGAGCTCTCCCTGCCTTGCTTTTGAGGCCCTGGAATGCCTTACCCGCAGAACTTACTTTGTTGGGGAACTCCAGATCTCTCCAAGTCCCCTTCACCTTCTGCCACCCCCATGGTTGTCTTAGGGGCCTATAAGGAGAATCAGACCCCAACACTCACAAGAGGCCAACCACGAGGTCAAACCTGGGAAGAAAAGCCATCTACATCAAAAGAATTGCAAGAAGTTGCCAATTTACACCGGAAAGCAGGGAGGTGTGCATGGAAATTAAAGCGGAAGATGCAAGACCAGGGAGGGAGGAACATAAGTAGGTTGTAAATAGGTTGCATTTGTCAAACAGCAGTGCTCTGGCCAGAGATTTGGTGTTTGACAGGCTATCTTGAGCAATCGCTTGCAGTTCTAATTACTCTTTGTAATTGATTGGTTGACTTAATCCTGGATTCGTTGACAGCCAACATAAAACGGAGTTCCGAGGTCCCATGGCATAATGTAAGACAGCAGCTCTCAAGCCTGGCTGCACATTACAATCATCCAAGGTGCTTTTCAAAATAGCAAGGCCATGGTTGCACCCCGGACCAATTAAGTCAGAATCCCCGTGGATGTGGCCCAGCCATTAGTATTTTTTCAGAGCTCCTCAGCTGATTAAAATGTATACCCAAGGTTGTGAAGCTCTGATGTAGAGGGAAGGGCTATTAATGTTGGACTGGATTAATTCTACAAGATCTGCTTCCTTATTCCCTAATTATGCACCTTGAAAGGACCCTGAAGATACTCTCCTTGCCAAAGTATTGAGAATTACATTTGTGAGGAAAGAATCAGTCTTTGGGAGGTGCCACTGTAGCTCTTACCTAAAATTGGATGTGCCAATGGGAGAGACTGCATTAAAATGGGCTCCCTAATAATGTCAGTGGGGGTTGAAGGGATACAGAGCTGGCACTAGCTACTAGAAGATGCTTCAAGGTTACAGCGATCAGCAGAAAGGCTGGAGTAGCACTCAGGGTAGTCTGACCAATGAGGTTTCTGGAGTAGCCAAGTGATCGTGGGGGTCTATGGATTCAAATAGGCTGGTACCTAACTACAATTTTATTTGACATTAGAACTCCAAACTTCTAGTTTGGCCAACTGGAGCTTAACTTGAGGCAGCAGAGAAGTTCCCAGATCTGAGTTATTTAGAAGACTCAAGGCCCCTTGATAATGTGATAATATCAAAAGCACGCACATTATATGGGGCACCTGGGTGGCTGAGTCAGTTAAGTGTCCAACTTCAGCTCAGGTCATGATCTCACGGTTCATGGGCTCGAGCCCCATGTCAGGCTCCTGGAGCCTGCTTCAATTTCTGTGTCTTCCTCTCTCTCTACCCCACTCGCACTCTGACTCTCTCTCTCTCTCAAAAATAAACATTTAAAAAAAGAAGAAAGAAAAGCACGTACATTATGTCTTATACCTTATTACCGGCTTCTTCCAGTTGCACTAGACAGTTTAGTGAGAAAAGTGCTAAGCCAGAAAGTACCTCTTCCTCCCCAGTTTGAAGAGGCTCTTCCTGCCTTGCTTGAGGCCCTGTGACAATGTCACCTAAAGGCGTTACTTTCATGGCAAAATCCAAAGCTCAATCCCCCACATGCTTTGCAATCACCACTTTCCCAGAGGGCCCTGTGGCCATTCCCCAGGGTAACTATGCTCTGGGAAAAGGGAAATCGTCAGGACATTTGAGTAGAATTGGACCTCTACTCTGAGGGACCCAGGACTCCAGGATGGTACTTTGGAACCAGAAAGAAGTAGTCCCTGCCCCCTGCCCACCACGCCCCCACAGTCAGCCTGCTGACATCTTACACACTTAGCCTGCTGACATCTTACACACTTCTATCCTTAGCACATAATGGCTAATTTCCCCGTTGGTGACTATATAGTTGGAATAACCGTATTTATCAAGAAGAATCCCCACACTGACTCTCTGGCCTTCGATGAAAGGTCATTTTAGTAAGGGCCATGAGGGAGGCCCCAGAGCTTCTCCTGCATTCCAAAATTATGAACCAAAAGACAAGTCTACATCCATGAGAGGATTAGTTAATGGATTAACTAACAAAATTAGTTAATGTGGATTAAAAATTAATATTAAAAAATTCAAAGATGTGGAAGATGTAGGGGTACTGAGTTCTATCATATCCCCCATTTAACTCACCAACTTAACAAAGAATTTAGGAAGACTTAAAAATGGGTCTTGGATAAAGACAACAAGGTATCGGGGCGCCTGGGTGGCTTAGTCGGTTGAGCGTCCGACTTTCGCTTAGGCCATGATCTCGCAGTTCGTGGGTTCGAGCCCCACGTCGGGCTCTGTGCTGACTGCCAGCTCGGAGCCTGGAGCCTGTTTCAGTCTGTGACTCCCTCTCTCTCTGACCCTCCCCTGCTCAGCTGTCTCTCTCTCTCTCTCTCCCCTAGAAATAAATAAAAATATTTAAAAAAAAAAAAAAAGACAACAAGGTATCATAAGCTTAGTTAGGAGTGGACCCCAACTGTTAGTACTGTTCAAACACAGGTCTTTAATCAGCCAATAAACATAGTTTCTAGAACTGTAGCCACTCATCTAGGGGGGAAAAATGCTCCCTATCCTAATAAACAGAGAAAAACCGGAAGCAGTTTGTTTTCACTTGGCAGGGACAGCAGTAGACCTTCATCATTTGCCTCGGGGCCGTGTCAATTTCCTCGCTCTGGAACATAATTTTGTCTACAGGGATCTTGCTTGTTTTCCCATTCTGCAAGACCTCATATGCTCCACTAATAATGTCGTGTTCCTAGAATCTAAAAAGCAGGAGGTAGACAGGGTTTCAGAGTCTTTACTGACACATGCATGCCAGAGGTGGGAGAGAAATCCCACAAAAGTACTAGGTCCTGACCCCTTGGTCAAGTTCCTGGGGATATAGTCATCTGGGAAAGGATGTAACAGCTTCTTTGAGATGAAAGGCAAGTAGTGGTACCCAACACTAAGAACAAGGCATAATAATCACTGGCCTTTGTTCTATTTAGGAGGAAATATGCTATGATGGGATGCATTTCTCCAACTTATTAACCAAGGAACCCAAAAGGCTACCAGCTCTGAGTGAGGCCCAGGGCAAGAATGAGCTCTCCAGCTAATGCCAGCTGTGTGTAAGAAGTTTGGTGTCTCTTAAGCTAATGGCCCAGAAGATCCAACACTGCTCACCCTGGGAATGGTGGACTGAGATGCTATTTAAAGTATAAAACAACAGGATAATTCTAGCCAAGCCCAAAGGTTTCAGAGAAGAACCACGTCTTCCTTCCAGATAACGATTTGTCTCTTGAGCAACAATTCTTGTCTTGCTTCTGCGCTTTAGAAGAGACTGAATGCATGATCGAAAGGCACCAAGTATCATTAGATCTGAACTTCCCATGAATAATTGGATATTATCTGTTACACCACGCTGTAAAAGCAGGCACAGTGGATGTGGAAGTGGTACGTATAAGATGGGACATGAGCAGTTCTGAAGCCACTGATGGGGTGTGTGAGCAAGCTGTATCTTCCCTGCTTAAACTGCCACCTCTCCTTCAACCCACACCTACGGCTTCAGCTTCGTAGGGAGTTCCTGAGACTACTGACTGAAAAGAAAGAAGGTCAAGTTTGCTTACAGATGGCGTTCTATTTTGTGAAATTCTACAGACTCATTCAGAAGTAGCTTTGAAGGACAATAAGAAGGAAAGTGCCCAGAGGAGAAAACTTCAAGTTATCTACTTTTCCGGGAAGGAAAGACGGTCGGAGGAATGCATCCATCTTGATCCATGGTCTCTGGCTAATGGTTTGGCTGACTGGTCCAACACTGGGAAGGGACAACATTAGAGGATTGGTGTCAAGGAAATTTTTTAGGTGGGAAGTGTTGGAATGGGCCTCTTAGAATGGGTGCGGTGTGTGGTGATATTGTATCTCATGTGAATAGTTGAAAAAGGCTCTTTGGAGGAGGAGTCTTTCAAAAGAGAGATGGATAATCTCACTAACGGTATCAGTCGCCTCTGCCACCCCACTGGGCTCTCAAACGAAGGGACTATATTGTCACCAACAGAGACCATACTTGAGCTCAACAACAGGGACTCCCTCTCACCAAGCTAACCTGGAGGCCGTCACTACTGTTCACCCAATGCCAGCAGCAAAGACCATTGCTGGGCACTTGATACAGCACCTACTTGACCAGAATAGCCAGGTACCCAGTGGCAGGTTGTTTACACTGGTCAACGGCCATCTTGAAGGGGGCAATGATTTGCCCTCAGGTAACAGAAGCCCACTCTGGATTTGAATTTACCTTCCATGTTCCTTCCGGTGACATCAACAATAGACTTACCGAATGCTCTCCCACTGAGGTATTCCACGCCACATCGCGTCTCAGCCAGGAATTTCTGTGACAGTGAAAGAGATAAGGATGTAAGATGGAAAACAGGGCATTCACGGGTCTTATAGGTTAAAACGTTTAATGAAGGCTCAGTGACAGTGTTGGCTGGAGAAAACCTCCCTTGCAAGGTTGGGTTGCTGTCCTATTGATTGAGTCTATGCTTTGAGCTAGAAAGCCATGTATGGGGATGGGTGAAGCACAGGCAGAATACCTGGCTCTGGGCAACCAGGTGGGTAGAAGTGGGGCGGCATCTCTTGCTACAACACCTAACTGCCCACTTGCAAATGCTTTTATTTCCTGTGTGTGTGTTTGTTCTCTATTTATTTTCTCAGACCCACTCTCCCACTTCCTGCCTTGCAGAAGCCCTTCAGACTCTCTCTCTCAGCACCCCATGCCGGATAGGCTCTGGATCAGCCAAGGAAACAACACAAGCAGGTCAGTAGAAGCCAGAAGAAAGAGGGCATAGGGTGTTTCTTTCCCACTCTCTCCAAGCTTTGGTGTTGTCTCTGCCCGGGGCTACTTTTTCCCATAATATGGCGGCTGCACAGCAATCCCACCTCAGCCCCACCCCCACTGGGCTCAGGCATACTCTTCCCCACCCCCAATCCCTTCAAGCCAAGGGGTGGGATCTGCCTTCTGTTGTGTTAGTCTCTGTGTGCCTTGACATTCTGCCTCAGGCCCCCTAACCCTACCTTCCCTCTATAACTGGTCCCCCACCAACGTCTCTTCTTTTCCTAAATCAAGGGAGTTGAACTCAGTTTCCTGCTGGGATCCTGGGATGGATATGTTATTTCTGTGACTCATCTCTTGGCTTTGAGGGTTAACGTCCAAGAAAGAAGAGAACAGGGCCATTGTATTGAGGATTGAGGCTGCCACCTGTCCATGTCAATGCCTTCATGCCACTTGGTGATGAGGCATAAAAAGGGTTAGCAGTAGGCTGCAGTGACAGGTGCTGTTATATAAATAACAGGCCTGGGAGCAATACCGCCTACATGACAGGGAGGGTAACACCTGGTTAAGTCAGGCCCAGTATTAAAAAAAAAAAATAAAGTTAATGGAAGACTTCAACAACCCCACTCAAGCAAGACCACAAGGACTCAGCTTCCTCAAAAGTCGCAGTTTGGGGCACCTCGTTCACTGGGTCAAGAACTCTGCCCAGTTGAGATGCTGCTACAGAGAAAAGGGCACATGGAACAGGTATTAGAGGAAGGATGTCAAAGACACCAAGTAAGGCTGTGTTAATGTGGTCGACAGCAACAAAGGCTGCAGTGGCCACCCACGTCTCCTTGCATGCATGTGTTTTAGCTCTTTTTCCCCTCCCTATTCCCCTACTGTTTCTATGACTTATTCCATGGGTCACGGAGGATCAGAATGGTACTCTTGGGAACTCAGAAGAGGAGGCGGTACTACCCTGAAGGAATCTGGCTTCAAAATCGAATGCAGTGGCTGACACTGGTTTGAACTGACCTCTGGATTTCCTCGTTCTGTAGAGAAGTGATTCTCCCTTATTCTTTTTTTAATGTTTCTTTATTTTTGAGAGAGAGAGAGGGGCACGTATGTCAGCAGGTGAGGGGCAGAAAGGGAGACAGAGAATACGAAGCAGGCTCCAGGCTCTAAGCCATCAGCACAGAGCACGATGCAGGGCTTGAACTCACGAACTGCAAGATCATGACCTGAGCCTAAGTCAGACGCTCAACTGACCACCCAGATGCCTCTGATTCTCCCATACTCTTTAAGCTGCTTGAAACTCAGAAAGTCACTGAAGACCAAGCTCATTTCAATTGATGCAAGTGTGCTCTGCTAAATGCGTGCTCTCACACACATTCTACTTAGCACAATGCTTGGCAGCGCACCCTCTCCACTCCCAAGCTTACACCAGGGACCCTAATGCAAGGTGGGCTGTGGTTACTGCTGTCAGCTATGCCACGGGATGGGCCGGCGGGGGCTACAGTGCAAAGAGGGACTTCTCAGAGATGACAGCCAGGGGTGAGTGTGGAGCCTGGTCACAGGGAAGGCTCATGCTATTGGGCAGACCTCTGATGCAGCCACGGCAGTTGTGAAGTAAGAACCAGGCCAACCTGAAGTGTGGAGCAAGTGAGCTGTCTTGGGCACGAGCCCTGAGAGACGGGGTGTGGACAGTGGGAGCTGAGCAGGTGAGGGCGTAGGGGAGTCGCTAATGTTTGCGATTTTACTTCTTCCTCTGCCATAGGGATGGCCCCATGTACGGAAAATCAGCCATAAAGCCAGATGAAAGATAAACGAGTTGATACCATAATTGGCTTCCTCCTGCCCTTGGCACGGATAGAAAATAACGCTTTGCCATGAGCCAAGGACTTGACTTCAGATGTTTTGATCAATTTGATTTCCAAGGCAGATAAGAAATGGCACCTCAGTAGAGGCAGCTGGTGTCCCACCGAGCTGCTCTTTACCTGGCCAGTGCCCCTGTCCCCCAGGTCCCCTGAGTGTCAGCAACTGGTGTTTCTTCTCCAGAGGAACCACCTCAGCCGGAAAAGCCTGGGAGGCTCTGCCCTCCCCTGAGGGCGGCCCGCAGCTCAGTGACCCATAGGGTGTGTAGAGGCCAAAGGCTTTAGCTCAGGGTGGAGAAATTCACGCCTCCAAGTTCCACTGAGACAAGACTTCAGCGGAACCCTCATGTTTAGCCAGCTTCCTCCCTGCCCCACCCCGGCTCCCCTGCCCCCTCAGGGGCTCCCCAAGGGTGCCCTCCAGTAAACCCCGGTCTAAGGCAACGTCTCTGTGGCTGTCAGATGCAGAGGATTCTGGAGAACAGAACTTGTGGGTGGAAACAGGCTGGCTCCTTGTAGCTCTGACCTCTTGTCAGCATTTCTGCCCAGTCGGCTCTACAGGTGTTTGGAAGATTGGTAACCTGCTTTGATAACCAGGCCAGAGGCCCAGAGAAAATCTGGCATAAACCCACCCGCTGCCAGCCTCGCTCAGCCCATGCTCCCACAAGTCTGGAGAAGCCGGACGAGCTCATTAGGTCCATCTGTGACACCTTCCAGCACCTTCCAGTGGGTATTTTTAACTACATGGCACCTACTAGATCCCTGGGTATCTTGCATGAGGTCTATGAGTCACCTGCAGGATCGGAGAGATGTGCCAAAGGGCATCCTCATATATTTAGCTGGGACTTTTTTTTTTCATTAAGGTGGGAAGAAAAAGAATTAAGTTTCACGGTTACAGCTTGTGCTGTGCAACACACAGCCGAGGACCTGAGGGGCTGGAGCGCCCCGGCTGGGGTGGCTCCCGTTCTCCAAGTGGCCCCATCCAGGAGACCCGGGACACTACCTCCCTCCCCCCACCCAGGGGCTGATGGAGGACAGACCAGGGTGGCTCCGTGCAGTTCCTTGGGGGACCACGGGGGGCGCTCAAGTGCAGGGAACGTCTCCAGTGTCTGTAACGACGCTGGGACCGCAGGAGAGCAGAAAGGAGGGCATTTGGGGTCTGAAGACCATCATTCAGGTCCTAGCTTTGCCCTTTACTCACTACCTTTCCTCGAGCCACTTACCTTCCCTCTTCCCACTTGTTTCTCCTTTCCTGTAAAATAAGAATAAGAAGAAGATCCAGAGACCTTGGCGAGTATCATGTGAGGGGGGCTGTGCAAAAGGGGCTTTATAAACTGTAAAGTGCTGGACGGAACAGCAGCTGAGAGGGGAGACTGAAAGAGGAAGCTTGCAGGCTCCAGGATTCCCTCCCCCAGCGAGGCAGGGCTGGACAACCAGCAGGCCAGGCAGACTCCCTCCACGCTGTCCCCTGGGAGATCCTGGGGGGGGGGGGGATCACTTTTGTCGTGGTAATTCGTTTTCACGAGCTCCTCCGTGAAGGGTATTTTTAGGGGTGTTTAATTGATGCTACCTGTGTCGGTGTGGGCAGCTGTGTGCTCAGACAGGACGGGCTGGAGCTGATCTAGGCTGTGACGGTGGAAAAGATGAATTCCGGGCCTGCTCCTCTGTGGGGATCCTGCTCTGACCGCAGATGCGCTGCACGCCAGCAAAGCATGGATGCCGAGCGTGGCTGCGGTGAGGGCGGGCGGCTGGGAAGCTGTTCCAGGGTGCTTGGTTTCACACTCCCCTTCTCGAAGACAGCTGCTGGAGGAGAGAATTCTGCCCGTCTTGCACAGTCAGTAAGTGAGAACGCGTTTGCGTTTCTCAAGTCCTGTGCGCACCATACCAGGGAGGTGGACCCGAAGCAATCCTTTCTTCTGGTGCGTTCTCAAAGCAAAGACCTGGGTTTCATGTATAGCCTCCTCTGGGGACCCGGCCTCATGCCAGGAACACAGGCAGGGTTTCAACAGACTGCAGCGCTCTGGTTCTTTCTCACAAACCATGAGGCAGAGAGAACCGGCCATGGAGTGAAAGGGCCCCTGGCCACGTTCCTGAATGTGGTCTGTGACTAGTTTCCTCACCTTGAAGGTGGGGGTTCCAAAGACCGTTATAAGGATGAAATGAGAAAATAGGTAGGTAGGTGGTATGTTACCAGGCACAGAGAACAGTTTATGGCAATGTCACTGGGGAATATTGAACCTTATGATGGGGTAGCTGGCTTCCCCGAAATGTCCCTACTGCCACCAATGGCCATGCCTCCCAGTATTCATGCCCTTAGATCAGAAGAAGCCTTGAAGCACCCACGACTGAGGCTCTTGCAAAGTCTACTTCGGAGATACCTGCCCTTAGAACCCGGCTCCCGTGTCATGAGGAGCCCCATGTCATGTGGAGAAGCCACGTGTAGGCACGCTGATTGACAGCTGTAGTCGAGCCCCCAGCCAGCAGCCGGAACCAACCACTGGCAGTGAGCGCCGGCCATCTGGAGGACCCCAGTCACCGTCTGACAGAAACTGTGTGAGAGACTCTAAGTAGGAACTGCTCAGCTGAGCCCAGTTCAGCCCACAGACTAGTGAGTGATAAGAAACAGTCATTTAAGCCACTAGATTTTACAGCGTTTGGTTATATGAGTAACCCTTGTGGCCCAGCAGCCCTGGCCAGAGGGGAC